AAATTTTTTTATTTTGCGAACTGATAGTATTAAGGATCTTGGAGTACTTATCGATTCAAAGCTTCACTTTCATCAACATGTAGATATTTTATTTTCACAAACTATGAAATTACTAGGATTAATTCGCACCATTACGTTTTCCTTCTCTACCTTAGACAGTCTTTTGATGCTGTATACTGCTTTAATCAGATCCAAACTGGAGTACGCTTCTGTTGTTTGGAATTCGATAACGAATACTGACTCCAACAAACTTGAGCGTATACAAAGAAAATTTGCAGCTCTCTGTCATAATAGATTTTTTAAAGATATAGATTATCATTATTTTAGTATTTTGGATAAACTAAATCTGCAAACCTTGGATGTCAGACGGCGTCATATTGATGCTTTGTTTTTAATAAATGTTTTTAGAGGCACAACATATTGCTCCTCTGTCCTTGATGCGGTCGGTTTGCGGGTTCCTTCTCGGAACATTCGAAATTTTTCTACATTTAGCTGTTCTTTCAGTCGCTGTCCCACAGCTAGATGTGTTGTTGCTGCAAATTTTGTTTGCGAACTTGTAGACATTTTTAGTAAATCTAGTTTAAGTTTGAATTGTTTAGTTTGATAATTTTTGTACTTTTGGTTGTTTTTTACTATTTGCACTGTCTTTTTAACTTGTCACTGGCTTTTGAGCTAAGTATGCAATTAGTTTTTTGCTGTTAATTGTTTTTAATTTTCCAAATACTTAACGTTTTTGACCTGTTATTATCTATGTGTGTATTGTCTTGATTTTTATTATTGTCTGTTGTTTGTTGTTTTATATTTTCCGTGCTGACTCTGTAATTGGCCTCCGCTGTTGAGTTCGGCACGTAAATAAATAAAGCATTGAATTGAATTGAATTGAATTATTCACAAAAATTTTCAAAATTAACTAACTTAATTTTTAAGCATATTACTGAAGTCTGGTCTAGAAAACCGAAATTAACGGCCATGGGGATTCATTGTGCTGACCATGTGAGACCCTCTATATGATAAAGTTGGCACTAACTTCACCGACAAGCAGCAGTCCCTTGGTCGGTATAGTTCACTTGCAGACTAAAACCACAGAAGAAAGTAGTCTTCTGTGATGTGGCACCATGTAGATGTGGTGTTAACCGACATTTTGGAGGAATGTATCGCCTCCATCTTCAGGGTAGAAGGAAAAATAAGAAAATCCACAAGTGAAGAGACAGTGAGAACAGGTATCTTCTATCCTGAAGATGGAGATGGTAAGTACCTCTGAAACGTCGGTTAACACCACATCTACATGGTGCCACATCCCAGAAGACTATTTTCTTCTTAGTCACCGCCATGAAAACCTCAAATAAAACCAGAGTTTCTTTTGTTTTTATATATTACTGAAGTTCTTTTTGTTGCCTTTATATTTTTAATGTCTTCTTCTTTGATTCCAGTCTATTGCTAACAAACTTAATCATCCAAAAGCCTGAAACATAAAATCACAGAATTAATACTGTTGACACAAACAGCATATATGTTTATACAGCACCAGTACTACTGAATTGGTTGGTTCAATGGTAATGCCCTAGACTTGTACTCAGGAGGTGCTCAATTAAAATCTCGGCTGGGACACCAGCTATTCTTATTGAAGTTTTTCACAGATTTCCTCAGTGACTCCAGGCAAAGGATGAGATAGTATTTCAACTACACCATGATCACCTCCTTCCACATATTTTCCAATTCATCAGTCATATATCATGCTATATAGTCTGTGATGCTGACAGATTATAAAATAGCCCCCCAAAAAAAAAAAGACCTATAGTCTGAAGAAATCTTTAAGGTAGGAAATGATAACTAGTTAAGAATGTCATTTGTTGAACCTTTGCTGCATCTAATGCAGCAGACTGTAAAAGATTTAGATTAGACTGATGGGGTTGTGCTCAACATCTGATCACAATCTGCCATGCATCCACAATCTGAAGTTGGTCCTTTTGCAGGTCCAGACTTCGGATGAAGTACAGTAATTTGTTTGAGGGCACGTGGTACTGTAGTTGGTTGAAGCACTACGCTACAAGCCGGAGGGTCACAGGGTCAATTCTTGATGAGGTCACTGGATTTTTCAACTGACCTAATCCTTCTAGCTGCACTATGACCTTGGGGTCAACTCAGCTTCTAACAGAAATGAGTACCAGGAATTTTCCTGGGGGTAAAGAGCTGCAAACACATAAGGCTGACAACTTCACCACCATTTGTGAGCCAACTGTCTAGAAAATGTGGGAGTCTTGATGTCTCACAAACCTATGGTCCTCCACGGCCTGTTACAGGTATATATTTACATTTTTTACAGTACTGTGTTTGGTGGGGCCTGAGTAGGGCACAGCTGAGGAACAGTTTAGTACTGGCCTTCAAATTGGCACAGCAGTGCTTTGCTTCAAGCTCTGATGGCAGTCATAACCATATATTAATTCTGTGTTACCGGAATTTACAGTTTAGAAAGTGGGATCTCTTCTTTAAGAATAAGACGGATCTGTCACTTTAAGCAAGTGCCACTTCTACTGCACCATAGATCATACAACAAAATCATCACTACACTGTTAAAGCACAGCAGAGCAAAGCAGATCTTAGTGGGACTTTTGAGAGTTACTGGGTTTTATGAAATTGAGTCCCACGTGATAAAACATGAATTTAGCTAATACCTTAAACTCATATAGGATATACAAGTATATGCTGCTTTTGTCATGGAACCTTCCATAGAAGGGACTACTTACTTATTAAACCTGGTCCTTTGAAATAATACTATCCTGTAAGTAGTCCTGTCACATGTCTCAAATGCTTCCTATTTAGCTGTACAAGTTCTTTATTTTTTCAGCAAAGGTTCCCAAAGGTCAGTCAGTTCGGTATGGGAGTCTGTGACGGAAGGAGTTCAGTTGGAAGGGAGCCACCATTTAGAAAGGACTTGAGCATGGAAGCAAAGGAATAGCCATTGTTAGAAGATGTTACCAGGAAACTTCTAGCAAAGACACTGAAGGCTGGAAAAGACTTAGTGTGTACACTAGTGGACTGTAAATAGTGCAAATTAGTGACAGCACCATAATTAAGTGTCATTACAAGTTGTGAGCTGAAGTGGTCAATAAATCCAATATCCCAACTGAAACCCCATTGAAAGACACTCCTTCTCATGACAATATATTCCCATACCTATTTCAACCAAACCTGTCATGATGGCAGAGAATCTTCCTGGGGAGATTCTAGACACTTGAAAACTTGCATGGGTTGGAGTCCAAGCCAACTTATTTCCCCAATAATTTGTCTGCAAGAAGTACACTGAGAATGTGACAGCAATGTGAAAATTCCTAGGATACAGGAGAAGAGCCAAACTATCTTGTGCTGTTGCTAGGATACAGGGGAAAAAACAAAATATCTTTTACTACTATTAGGATAAATGATATAACCTCCGTCTCAAGTGCAAACAATATATTCTTGTGTCTTTGATCTTGCTCCCTACACTACATGTTTCGGCCTCAGACGGCCATCATCAGGTGTATAACACTCACGTCGCTGTCACACTGCACCCAGTTCAAAATTTAAAATCTAAAACACTCTCCCTGTCATTATCAACTTCTACTTCGTTGATAGCTGTCCACCCGTAGATTACTTCACACACGTTAATTTTGAGTTTATTGTAATAGCACCATAATAAAATCTTTAGTTCTAATTTTAAACTTTTAAATTCTTGTCCAAATTTTAAAAAGAATACAAGAATTTTTAAAATTTGGACAAGAATTTAAAAGTTTAAAATTAGAACTAAAGATTTTATTATGGTGCTATTACAATAAACTCAAAATTAACGTGTGTGAAGTAATCTACGGGTGGACAGCTATCAACGAAGTAGAAGTTGATAATGACAGGGAGAGTGTTTTAGATTGTAAATTTTGAACTGGGTGCAGTGTGACAGCGACGTGAGTGTTATACACCTGATGATGGCCGTCTGAGGCCGAAACATGTAGTGTAGGGAGCAAGATCAAAGACACAAGAATATATTGTTTGCACTTGAGACGGAGGTTATATCATTTATCGTATGGAGTGCAACAGGATGCTTAAATATAATACTATTAGGATACAGGGAAAACCCCAAAGGATCTTCTGCCATTGCTAGATTTATTACAAATTTTTATTTCTTACACATGTGCATTATGACCAACAAACTTGGCAGTAGTCAACTAAACTAAGCTCTTCAAATATTACAATTTATTCTTTGCTTCTCACATGTAAGGCTAATATTATACATTTGGCTTCTCCTCTTCCTAAAAATCTCCACTTTATGGGATAAAAGCTTTTGAACTTTCCTATATATATGCTGTTTCTGTAATGGGAGGTCACAGCCTAAGAATCTTGAATTATTATACAGGGTTATTCAAAAAGAATGAACTGATTTCATGATGCAGCATTGCTTCAGTTCTCAAGCATCGTCATGGAATGAGTCAGTGACCATTTGAAAGAGGAGTTGTCTAAGTTGTGAATGGCTGCCACAGGGGCACTGAAGTCGCATCGTTCTTGAGGAAACGTTCAGTTGTTCGTTTACCCTCGGAATGGCGAGTCCTCAGCAAAAGGCGTTCTGCGTTCTCAAGTTCGCAAAAACAAATTCGGTTGTTACGGTGCAGCGTGCTTTTCGAAGGCGATTCGGCATTAATCCGCACTGTCCTAAGAATATTTGACAGTGGTTTCGACAGTTTCAAGAGAGTGGGTGTCTGTGTAAATGAAAAAGTCCAGGACGACCATGAGTCTCGGAGGAACAAGTGGCGAGAATACGTGCTGCTCATGAGAGGAGCCCGCGGAAGTCAACAATTTGAGCTAGCCATGAGCTTGCGATCCCTCAATCCACTGTCTGGCATGTGCTAACAGTACATCTACATTTGAAACCATACAGACTGCAGCTCGTTCAGGCACTTACCAATGACGAAGAAAAGGAAGCGGATAGAATTTTGCGATTCGATGCTGGAGATTATGGAAGACAAAACCTTCATTTCACGTTTAATTTTTAGTGATGAAGCGACTTTTCACTTGAGCGGCAGAGTCAATCGTCAAAATGTGCGTATTTGGGGAACAGAGCACCCACATGAAATAGTTGAGCACGAAAGAGATTCCCCTAAGGGTAGTGTCTTCTGGGCTGTGTCTCAGGACAAGGTTTATGGTCCACTTTTCTTTGAAGGAAACACCATTACAAGACAAACCTATCTCGATATGCTCCAAAACTGGCTCTTCACTTCACTGCAAGCAGATTCGCATGACTTCATTTTTCAATAAGATGGAGCACCGCCCCATTGGCACCTGATGGTCCGAGCTTTTTTAAATGAAAAAGTGCCCCAGCGATGGATTGGTCAGAAGGGGTCCAAAGACCTTGCTCTTTGTGGGCCTGCGACATCCCCAGACCTCACCATGTGTGATTTCTTCTTGTGGGGATATGTAAAAGATCACGTTTATGTTCCACCACTACCCACTAACCTCGATGACCTTAAACATCGAATAACAACAGCGATTAACTCAGTGCATCATGATATGCTGATATGCGCCTGGGAGGAATTCTCTTATTGCATTGATGTTGCCCGTGCTGTAGGTGGTGGCCACATTGAACACTTGTAAGACAGGAAATAAATGTTGATTGTGAGTAGAATACTTGTGACTTGGCTGGAGTTTTGTATTACTTTCCTTTAATAAAATATTGCGTAATAAAATTGGTTCATTCTTTTTGAATAACCCTGTATATCTTCCTGGCACCCAGGACTTTTCTGTACAGAGATATCTGTAACAGAGAGTTCCATCCGGTAAAGGTTTTATTGCAGACAAATTTTATTACAGAAAATCTTACTGTAAACAATAACCTAAAATTCACCAAGCTATAACAGATCATTGCTATGCGCATTACGAAAGCAGCAGGGCCATTCGGTAGCGTAGTTGGTTGAGGCACTATGCTAAAAGCCAGAAGGTTGTGGGATTGAATCCCAATGAGGTCATTAGACTTTTTCAATTGACCTAATCCTTCCAGATGCACTATGGCCCTGGGGTCAACTATGCCTTTAACAAAAATGAAACCAGGAATATTCTTGGAATGTTCTTGGGGGTAAAGGGCGGCCAGTGCTCAGGGCTGACAACCTTACCGCCATCTATAAGCCGATTGTCTAGAAAATGTGGGAACCTCAACATCTCACAACCCTATGGGCCTCCATGGCCTTTTACAGGGATACCTTTACTTTTACTTTACGAAAGCAGCATTTTGTTAAGTTATATTAGTTCCTCAAGATCATAAATATTGTATCACCAAGCACTAATACTCTATATTTATATTCGGAAGGTGCTTGGTTCAAATCTCAGATGTGACACTGGCTATTTTGAATGAATAAGCCATGATAGGATCCTTCCAAATACATATATAGTCCAGATACTGATGGGGTCATAAAATAAACTACTTAAATGTCACCTCACATTCCTTGTTATGTTATAAATGTCCACGAACATTACAAAGGTTCAAAATTACTGACCTTCAACACAAACACTGACATAAAATCGGTCATGGTGCATGCAGGCATGCTCCGTCCACTTCTGAGTTACTGGATTGTAGCAATACACTGTGTTGAGAATTTCAAAGCAATTGCATCCACCAACAATGTAAATGAGGTTATCCACAGCACACAGACCATGGTAAGCTCAAGCTGTGAGTTTGGCATCCAAGCATTTGTACCATTTGTCTGCCCTGCAAATGAAAGAGTTAAACATTAAGAACAGGTTTCCCATTACCACATTCATGATATTGTGACATGTTGCGCAAAAGAGAACCCCCCCCCACCAGCAGTGACGCGGCGGGTGAGTCAGCGCTCCCCTCCCCCTCCTCCGCACGGTAACGTAAGGGTGACGCAACAGGGTTGTTACGGTAGTAACAGCGGTTACTACCGCTAGCCTTGCTAGCAACCCAC